TGTCAAACACATCTGTACATATGTTGTCATCATCTTTTCCAAAACATTTTCTTTCTATTTGAACCCTTGGTATCAGCTCCTCATTTAAAATTTTTTCCTTCCTTAAATTCAGCACTCTCTTTGGGCCACCGACCCTGGGTCCAGCCCCGCTGTTTGGCCTGGGCCCCCTGTCCCACGCCACTACTGTAAAGTCAGCAGGCACACACTGCTTCTTGCAAAGTGATATCTTTCAAAGACATGGTGGCTTTTGGGATATGCTGACCCTTGATGGCCTGGGCAGTTTCACGGGTATTCTTAAAGTGGACCCGAAGCTTCAATCCTTTTATTTCTAATTATTAAAAGATCATTTTATGGGGGGCTCTTACAGCTTTTATGATCCATATAGCTATTATAGCAAGCCTATCTGTACATATGTTGCCGCAATTATTTTCTTTTTTCTTCTTCTTTTAACCACAATTATTTTCTAAACATGTACTTTCTATTTTAGCCCTTGGTATCAGCTCCTCTTTTTCCCCTCTCTCCCCCACTCCCAATCTCCGGATAAATTACAAATTATTTTCATATCTTACACTGACCGCTGTCTCCCTTCCCCCATGGCTTACGTTGTGCGTCCCCCTGGGATGTGTGTATGTGGGTATGATTCGACCCTCTGGACTTGCATGATGTTGTGGGGTTTTCTGGGTCAAGTGAGTAGAGGATCATCTTGGCAGGTCGTCGCAGGCCGCGATGGGAAAAGCAGCCATGGTGTTTTCTGTGGTCTCCCGTGCATTCAAAAGCTGGACCATGAACAAGGAAGATCACAGGAGAAGGAGTGTGTTTGCATCATGCTGTTACCAGAAGAACAAACACACCTAGTTACATAAACTGGTGTCAATTTGAGGATTCAGAGTGAAGGGGTGGAGTCTAGTCTGTCAATCAGGTCATAGCCAATGAGGCCTCTGTGTGGGCGTGGCCTTCTGAGGATTCTGGGAATTCCAATATTCCTCCTTGGAGGTGGGAGACACTTTCTCTGGACTCACTCCCTGAGAGATGCTCTACTGACAAGACACATGGCACTGAGCTGATAGAGCCTGTGACCTGGGAACTGGAGGAACCATGTAGAGACCCCAGCCAGTGCTGAGATGCTTCTACTGCCACTGGATCCACAAGACTGAGCCCCCTCATTTGACATCATTGCATGTGTTTTGTGAGTCTGAAGAGGAATTTATAGATTGATATCAGACATATGGGCTAATATCGGACTTATGGACTTGATCTGGACTGGCCTGGGATGTTTTCTCAATATTCAATTGCTCTTGTATATAAAGCTCTTTCCTATACCCATATGAGTCTCCCTGGATTTGTTTCTCTAGTCTACCCGGACTGACACGACTGTTCTGGAAGAAGTGCAGTCAGAATGGAGAAGTACTGTTTCTAAGGAGAGAGGTGAGGAGGGTGATGCTTCATCTCATGTACTCTGGACATGTGTGCAGGAGAGACGGGTCCCTGGAGAAGGACATCATGCTTGGTAAAGGATGGGGACAGTGAGAAAGAGGAGGACAGTCAAGCAGAGGGATGGACCCAGGGGCTGTCACCAGGGCTCACACACAAGAACTGTCGTGAGGGTGGTGCAGGACCAGGCCGTGTCCAGTGCTGTTGTATTTGTCCTGCTATGAATGAGAATCAACTCGACAGCCCCCTGTGGTTGTCACATCATCTGGTGACACTTTGAGACTATCAAGAGTGAAGGGGTGGAGGTTAGCCTGTCAATCAGGTCGCTGCTGGATGACCTCATTTGGAGGCACTAAGGAGATACATAGCTCGCTGGAGGTGGGACGCACGCTCTCTCCCTGGGAGACATTTCTGCTGACAAGACACATAGAGCTATGCTAGTGCCCTGGGGCTGGAAGAGCCACATAGAGACCCACGCCAGCACTGAGATGCTTCTACCCCCCACTGGATCCACAAGACTCTCCACCCACTGGCCTGTGATCTTCCTGCATTCATCGTCATTGAATGTGTTTCATGAGTCTGAAGAGGAATTTATAGATTGGCATTGGACCTATGGGCTAATATTGGCCTTATGGACTTGATCTGGACTGGGCGGGGATGTTTCTTCAATATACAATTGCTCTTTTATATAAAGCTCTTTCTTATACACATATGAGTGTTTATGAATTTGTTTATCTAGTCAACCCGGACTAACACAGCCCCTAACATTATTCAGTCTACCTTACAGAATCCCCAAGGACCCATAGTCCCTCCCACTGCCCCACAAGATCAGGCAATAGGGAGAATCTGGCAGAAATCATAAGACAAAGGAGAGATGGAGACACATCTCCACACACACCTGCCCAGCATGAAGGAAGGTGAAGGGCAGGTAAGACACATTTCAATGGTCTTTCAAGACTCTTATCAATAGAAGAGACCCAGAGATAGTGAAAGGGTGAGTAGAGAAAGATGGGATGTCCACATGGTCCCCCACAATGACTGAAGAGAAAGACCCTGGGGTCTGGGACTGGAGACAAGGGCACAGCATGGTATCAGGAGTCCTGTCACACACACACACACACACACACACACACACACACACACACACACACCACAGAGGATCAGCCAATACCAGAAGACCAGCCAGAGAGCCAGCCTATGGAGACAGGCCCACCATTAGTGGAATTTCAGGTCCAGCTCTACCTTCTGACTGGCCCAGCTAAGGGCCCTTTGGACTTCTTTTCCAGAGCGGCCCCTTCAATAAACTCACTCTTTCTGTTCAACCCTTTTGTCTGATGCTGATCTGAATTTTGCCCCTCGCCTGAAATCGTTGAGCCTCCTCCGGGTAACAGGGCCTCCCACCTTTTTCTCCCTTCTCCACTCTGCTTCTGTTGATACAGGAAAATCAATACCAGAAAATACAACACAATAAGATTCAGTTTGCTAAACATCTAAAATCCAGATAAACCCCTCAGGACCAATAACGAGAGTAGCGATACCAGGAGGGTAAGGGTAAGGTGGGGGAGAAAGAGGGCACTGATCACAATGATCTATAGCTAACCATCTCCCTGGGGGATGGACAACAGGAAAGTGGGTGAAGGGAGACATCAGATAGTGTAAGACATGACAAAATAACAATGATTTATAAATGATCACTGGTTCGTGAGGGAAGGGGGGGGGGAGGGGGGGAATGAGAGCGGATCTCAGGGACTCAAGTAGAAAATGTTTTGAGAATGATGATGGCAATGAATATGCAAATGTGCTTGAGACAATGGAAGCATGTATGGAGTGTAATAAGAGTTCTATCAGCCCCAAATAAATTGATGAAAAAACATATCTACAATCTAACAGTCCCTTCCTGTATGGTAAAAATTCCTTTTACACTTCATCAGCAGGGATGTCCCAACTCGGGAAGGAGACTCCCAAGGTCAGTAAGATAAGTAGCCGAATGGCCCCTGGAGAAATGTAGGTATAGATCATCTCCAGTCGATCATTGCGGAACCTGCCTTCTGAGAGTATCGATTGTATCCTGTGACGATGACGTTGCAAACCCTGTTAATCTCCTCCTATCATCATTGTGAAAACCTGTTTCTTGTATGTTTACTCGTGGGATTAGGACGGGACTCTGAAACAGCTCAGAGGGGGAACGTGCTGCTTCCCTTCTGCAAGTGCTTGCAGGAATGGACTTAGAATGTCTCCAATCAACCTGCTCTCTTCTCCTGGACCCCTGCGGTCTGACCATGCTGTCACACTGGCCTCTCAGTGGCTTCTTGAATACACAGTCCTTCCACCTCAGGGCCTTTGTACTTGCTGCTTCCTCTGCCTGGATTGCTCTCCCTCCAGAGCCCCACATGGCTCCCTCCTCCAACTCTTCCCGGTCTTTGTTTTCATTCCACCTTCTCCGTGGGGGTGTTCCTTGCTATCCCTACGTACCACCTCCACCATCCCACCCCCCACACTCTCAGTCCACACCCCCTGTGGTTTCACCCGCGGCCCTCATCACTACCAGCCACGCTTCATAGTTTAGCTCTTTATTTTGTTCCCCAACTCTCTCCCTGGCCCGTTTCCTCTAGCAGGACGGCAGGCATTCTCAGCTGTGTTGTCCACAGCCAGGGTGCCGGCCTGCGCCTGGCACAGGACAAGGGCTCTCGGTTTGCTGAAAGAATGAATAAATTAAGGACGTGGGCAGGCTGGGGGTGGGGGCTGGGGGAAGAGTCCAAAGTTGGCAGCAGGCCCCAGAGAGACTCGGAAGCGCCTGGGTCAGGTGGCAGTTCCGCTTTGGGCTGCTAACCCCAAGGTCAGCAGTTTGAACCCAGCAGCCGCTCCGTGGGAGCAAGATGAGGCTTTCTACTCCGATGAAGAACGCAGTCTCAGAAACCCACAGGGGCAGTTCTACCCCGGCCTATAGGGTCGCTGAGAGTCGGCATCCACTCAACGGCGAGGCCCTGGTGGTGGCGATGCTTCAGGCTTCTCACCGAGAGCTTCCAGATTCAAGTTCCACCAGAGGAGCCTCGGGAGAAAGGCCTGGCCATCTCCTTCTGCAAGGTCAGCCTCTGCAGACCCTCAGGATCAGGTTTACTCTGACCTACATGGGGCTTGGGGGGTGCTCCACACGGTGCCCTCTGGGCCCTGTGTGGCAGGGCTGCCTTGTCCCCGCAGAGGAAGGGCTTCTGGAGGTGACAGCGGTTGGGGGTTATCCTGGGACAGCTGGGTGCCCAGCCAAGTGGGATGTGCACGGTCTGGCTGGAGGGAGACTGGAGACCACCCTGTGGGCTCAAATTCCCAGATGGAGGGACTTGGGGCGGGAGGAGGCAAAGGCCTGTTTTTCCTGGGCCCGTGGTCTGAGGACAGGGTCTGGGCCAGGCTGACTGAAGGACTCTCCTCAGGGTGGTGAGCGGGGAGCTGTCTCTGAGGAGTTCATCCTCAGACCCCGGCTGGTCCTGCTGTCTGTCTGTGTCTGTCTGTCTTCTTGAAGCCACCAGCAGAGGGCTGAAGTGTCATTTTCCCTTGCCTGGCCCTGCCAGGGACCCTCAGGGGCCCGGCACCAGCTGGCAGTAAGGGGCAGGGTCCGGGTGTAGCAGGTCCTGGGAGGCGGGGGAGGGGAGAAAGATGGTTATTTAGGGGTGAGAGTGGAAGGGAGATAGAGAGGCAGCATTTTTCCAGAGACTGGGAGACATGGAGAGACCCAGAAAGGGGCTGGCAGATCCAGCCAGGAAGACGGTAACATCAAGCTGCAGGGCGCTCCAGAAGAGCCCGGAGCAGGGAATGGCTGAGACGAAGAGATGGGGAGGGGCAGGGACACAGAGGTGGACAGAGACAGCAGCCATGGGGAGACAGAGACACAGAGATGGAGAGACACAGCAGCCATGAGGAGATGCAGAGATGGAGAGAGCAGTGATGAGGAGAC